AGCCTCTCTCTGTCCTCCCTCTCTCTCCTCTTGGCCTCCTGCGCCTCCTCCTTCTCCTTCTTCAGCCGGGCTTTATCCTGAGCCGCCACCGCCATCTCCTCCCTCTGCTGCAGCAGCTTCAACTTTTCCGCCGCCTTCAGGAGCGACGAGCCCGCCTGGAAACGAAACAGAAGGTTTAAACCACCCACAAAGACGTCACACTCCTTCAAAATAAAGGTGTACATATCATAGAGCCCTTCAAAATAAAAGCATATACTTCACACTCCTTCAAAATAAAGGTATAAATACCATAGACACCTTCAAAATAAAAGCATACACTTCACACTCCTTCAAAATAAAGGTATTAATATCATAGAGCCCTTCAAAATAAAAGCATACACTTCACACTCCTTCAAAATAAATGCATACACATCATACACACCTTCAAAATAAAGGTATAAATATCATAGACACCTTCAAAATAAAAGCATACACATCACACACTTTCAAAATAAAGGTATACACATCATACACACATTCAAAACAAAGACTTACACATCAAACACCTTCAAAATAAAGGTATAAATACCATAGACACCGTCAAAATAAAAGCATACACTTCACACTCCTTCAAAATAAATGCATACACACATTCAAAACAAAGACTTACACATCAAACACCTTCAAAATAAAGGTATAAATACCATAGACACCTTCAAAATAAAAGCATACACATCATACACACCTCCAAAATAAAAGTATACACTTCACACACCTTCAAAATAATGGTATAAATATGATAGACACCTTCAAAATAAAGGTATTAATATCATAGAGCCCTTCAAAATAAAAGCATACACTTCACACCCCTTCAAAATAAAGGCACACAAATCATACACACCTTCAAAATAACAGTATACACATCACACCCCTTCAAAATAAAAGCATACACATCACACACACCTTCAAAATAAAACCAAAAAAGTAAAAAATCAGAGTCATACAAACAGTCGATTACTTGCAGACATTAAAGGACCCCAACATATTTCCAACACTCTCACCTGTCCAGGTGAGCCCCGCCCTCCACCTTTAGAGGTGGGGCTGAAGGGGAACAGGGGGGGCTCATCAGGGAAGAACTGCGAGAAGGTTTGTTCGCTAAGATGGTACTTCATCACCGTGGAGGGCTGAGAGACAGGAAGTCAAAAGTCAGGTGACTAAAGGTCAAACTCTCTGTCTTAATACACCTGTACACCTGTTCACCTGCAGGTTCCTCTCACCTTTATGACGATGGTCCCGTTCTGAGGTTCACAGTGTTGCTTAAAGAGCAGCTTCAGTCGCTCTCTGGACACCAGGGACTTCCTGCGACTGAACACATGAATAAAAACACACCGTCAACCACAAAAAGAGACACACACACACACACACACAGATAGAGAGACGGGGCCGTCTGCAGGTGTGACCCCTCCTCACCTGAGCGCGTTGGCTTTAACAGTGAAGGTCTCTCTGTGGTCACCCTTCATCATCCTCACAGTGTATCTGAAGACCGACGGACTCAGAGGCTTCTTCTTCTTCTTCCTGAGGGGGGGGGAGAACACACACGTGATTGAAGTTTGACTGTGTGCGTCATGGCGAGCATCCCGTGACCTTTGACCTCCGTACCCGTTCATCTGTGCCGTGGGACTCTGGAAGTCTTTGCTCTCCTCGTCACTGTCGCTGATGACGATGGTGTCGCTCTCAGCTGGTTTGGTGTGACCGTTGGCGGCAGCCGGCGTTCCGTTGGCGCTGGAATGAGGAGAGTGCACCTGCAGGATCTCACACACATGTCTGCAACACACACACACACACACACACACACACACACACACACACACACAGTATGTTAAAGCTGTAATCACACTCCTGGATCAGCTGTTCAGGTCTGATAAGATTCTCTCTCTCTCTCTCTCTCTGTCTCTGTCTCTGTCTCTCTCTCTCTCTGTCTCTCTGTCTCTGTCTCTCTCTCTCTCTCTCTCTCTCTCTCTCTCTCTCTCTCTCTCTCTCTCTCTCTCTCTCTCTCTCTCTCTCTCTCTCTCTCTCTCTCTCTCTCTCTCTCTCTCTCTCTCTCTCTCTCTCTCTCTCTCTCTCTCTCTCTCTCTCTCTCTCTCTCTCTCTCTCTCTCTCTCTCTCTCTCTCTCTCTCTCTCTCCCTCTCTCCCTCTCTCCCTCTCTCTCTCTCTCTCTCTCTCTCTCTCTCGTCCCTCCTCCACTCTGTCGGTCAGCTGACCCGTCAGTACCTGGCTCCGTTGTGTCCCGTCACGTCCACGGTCTCTCCTGGGAAGTAGCGGTCTTTGACGAAGGTGTAAATGTCCTCGCAGAGCTCCGTCAGTCTGCAGCGGCGGCTCAGCGCGGCGAGGTGGAGCAGAGGAACCAATAGGGACGGAGGGAAGCTCTGCAGGCTCTGTTTGGCTCGCCGTTCGCTCTCCACCGCCTCCAGGTAGGTCAGGCCCGCTCGACCCGTCAGAGCGCAGCTCCACACCAGACTGTTACAGAGGATGGTCCGCTCGAAGAACTCACTGAGGACAGAGGAGACAAGGAGGCAGCTGAGGACAGAGGAGACAGCTGAGGATACAAACATGTTTTTAGAGGAGGGGCTGATTGGTGTTTGTCTCTGCAGAGCTGCAGTTTCAGGACCACAGTAACAGACCCTCGTTTTGTTGTTGTTGTTGTTGTTGTTGTTGTCGTTTTCAATCAATTATTTTGTTTTTATCAATTATTTATCGATTAAAGTTTGAAGAGTTTTAAACTTTGACACAAATCTATAAAATCGACTCTATGTGAACGGAGATCTACGCTAACGCTGCTTTATAATGATAATAAATAATAATAGAGTCAATGTCAGCACAGAGCTGATCAGGTCCTGATCAATACTCTGGTCTGATCAGGGTTCAGGTCTGCACTGACCTCCTGTCACTAAAATCTCCTTAACTATATTTATTTTAATTAAAAGTGTTTAAATGACAACAAACAGCTTTAAATCAAACTCAGGAGGGTTATTGATCATCTGTATTGATTAGGATGATCTGACCTCAGTGGAGGTGTCACCTGCTCACCTGCTCAGGTCAGGGTCAGTGGGTGGTTATTATAAACTCAGGTGAGTTTCATTCTCTCCAATCAGCTGATCAGGATAAACAAACATCAATATTCACCTGTGTGACGTCAAACTCAGCTGACCCCTCCCCCTAACATCACCTGGCCTACGTCACAGAGGTGTGCGGTCCCTTTAAGTGACCGTGAGCTAACAGCTAAAGTAGCTAACCGCTGACTGACAGCTGGAGTTAGCTTCCTCTGCTAACAGCTGCTAACTCCCTTTAGCTTCGTCAGTTAGCTAACTTCAGCTAACAGGTCACCTGTCCTCGAGCTCTCCGGGCTCACACCTGTGGGGGGGTGGAGATTAAACTAAGTCTAAACTCTTAAATTAACTTTATTTTCTCTCTGATGGTGAAGTTTGTTTGGGTTTCTGGAAGTTTGCCAACCGGCCAACTGTCAGTCAGGAGGGGGGGGGGGGCCCGGACTCTCAGGTGGGCTCTCTCTCCCTCTCTCTCTCTCTCTCTCGGGTGGGGGCTCTCTCTCAGGTACTCACTCGTAGGTCCTGAAGATCTCGTGGGTGATCTTACAGAGGAAGACCTCCTCGTCCGGCCGCAGGTCCGCCGGAGGTTTCTGCCTGATGAAGGCTCTCCTGTGGAGGAGCGGCATCTCTCCGTCCACCGGCGGCGGTTCTGGAGGGAAAAAAGGAGGGAAACCGGGTCACAAACACCGAACCGAACACACAAACTCCGCCTAAACTAGCCGAAGTGAGCCCGCTCTAACTTTAACCGGAGAGCTGAGCGGGAAACGGCGGACCAACACCGAGCGGAACGCGTGCGGAGCGGCGCGGGTCTTTTGTTAGAATCGGTGATAATCTGCCCACATGGAAATGAGCCGTTCACTGTCTGAACGATTCACCGACCAAAACCAACAAAAACACTCACTCTGTGAACTCTCACCGACTCGAACACTCCACACACACCGGCTGTGGCGGGCTGGACCGGGTTGTGTAACAATGAACCGATAATCCAACCGTAGAAAGAGAAGAGCGAGTCCCGGGCTGAAGAAGCGGATCACTCTGGCGGCTTGTTGACCAAGTTTTAGACCGATTCACGGACCCGCTCCGAGCTCGGAAAACACAGTGTTAGAGCGAGTGACGGTGAAGGGACGGGGAAACACGACGGGAGAGCACGGCGGTCACTCAAAACAAAGAAGTTTGTCCTCATTACCAATGTAAGAATCAGAAAATATAAATTAATAAATAATAATAATAACAACAACAACAATAATACTAATAATACTACTACTAATACTTATAATAATAATAATAATAATAATAATAATAATAACAATAATAACATATATAAATAGTTAATATCTGATCTGTTTCCCTTTACTAATTAAGTCCTTAACCCTGAATGAAAGAAAAAAGTTGTTTTTAAGTATTTATTTTATTTTCGGTTGAATCAGTTCACTTCTGTAATATCTGATAAATTTTTGAGTTTATTTTAAGTTTAACTGCTGACTAGTAAGTTTTGTGGTACCACATAAATAAGTGTGAAAGTACAGGTTATTAGCCCATTAGAAAGGTAATTTATTCAGACTGATTTATTTACAGCTGCTCATAACTGAATATTTGTGGAGTTGTTTGAAAATAATCTAAAATAGGACGTTTTATTAGTTTGTCTTTGCTCGAATGTTCTGGATTAAACTTTAACAAACCGACATGTTATAATAATCTGGATGAGAGGAGTTAAAATAAAGATTAAACTGTGACTGACAGTCTGCTGGACTCCTTTTAACATGGTAACCAGTATAACCAGTACTAATGCTTATAATGGGATTAAAGAGGCGGTGAGTTCGGACCCGTTTCTGTTGGACTCGGTTCGATATGATCCAATCCTGAGGCTCAAACCTTTCAGGAACATCATCTTTAATCTACAGTAATAACATTGAACC